TACTAGTAGTTGGCGCTAGTTACTAGTAGTCAGTGCTGGTTACCTGCAGAGCGATGACGGCGAACAGACCACAGCAGGCGTACTGAACAAAGTTCCTGCTGAGGATCAACACACAACCACCTGCAGACACACAAACAGATGCTGAACATCTGGAATCCATGTTTGACGTGTTACATGGTAAATGGTCACCTACATGTTGGAACCTCTGATTACTGATGAATCCTGACTGAGAAGCAGAAGGACCTTAAAGAGGTTAATGTGACCCTGGTTTAGGGGTTCTGGTGGACGGTTCTATACACCGCCTGACTGTAACTGGATCAGAAGTGTGCTGGTTCTTACCCAGCTGCCCCAGCAGGTTGATGAACACAAACACGTTAGCGAGGAAGCGTCCGCAGCTCCAGGTGGTGTCGATGTACTCGCTCTGCTCCGCCCACTGGAACCACATCCGGACTCCGTCCTCCAGGAAGGTGCTGACCAGACAGAGCCGGGCCACGTGGGGCAGGTAGTGTTTGGTGACCCGCAGGAACTGCAGCAGAACAGAACCAGCTAGCTGTTAGCCACTGTTAGCCTCTGTTAGCTGCAAGTCCAGTTCGGTCACTGACCAGTAGGGGGCGTGAGGACTACCGAGGGTCTTACCAACAGCATCAGTCTGAAGCTCAGAAGCACAGCTGTAGGAGCCTCGTTCATCAGAACAGCGCCACCTACTGAGCAGGGTGGTCCTACCTACAAGAACTACATTCTGCCCAGAAATGTGTACTTTTAAAGAGTTGTTGCACCTAAAGTGCTACTTTTCGACCAAATATTTAAGTTTTAAGCAGCGATTTCATGTAAAACTCTAGTTTCTGTCCTTCAGTTGGACCTGGTGGCGTCCAGCCGGCTCATCGTCGGCCAGAGCAGCAGCGAGCTCCTCTGCTCTCTGTACACTTTTAAAACAGACGAGACGCCTCCAGTGGGTTACTTTGGCCATTAAACCCTCAGTTCATCCTGCAGGACAAACACCGACGACACACCTGCACCTGTCGGCTAAGCCCCGCCCCTCTGTGCGGAGCGGGTCGCCGTGGAGACGCAGCAGGTTGTTTCCTTCAGAGACTGCAGCTGATTGATTAGGAGTGAATCGAATCATTGTTGTTTCCTCAGCAGCTTCTACACAAACATGGACTTCATCTGAAGCGACCTGATGTTTAAACGGAAGCATCATCCGCTGACGCTCTTCCTGTTCAAACACGAGTCGTTTTCTCAATGATGACAAAACAGTGAACACATTCAAAGAACAGGAACGGCTCCACTTCAAGTTCAACTCACTGGAACCACACACATCTTTCCTCAGTACGCTCTTCTGTTTATCAGCCGTTTGTGATGATTTAGTGTTTAAGAGGTGAGTTAAACTGCTGACTGTCTTTCTGTGGATCAGTCAGACTCCAGCAGCTGTTTACTGACAATCAGACAGTTTGATGCTCTGCAGGTTCGATGCTCTGCAGGTTTGATGCTCTGCAGGTTTTCTGACGTTGGATGTTTAAACATACAAAAGAGACGTGATCTCAACAAACACCCAGAACAGAAACGTCTAAATCGTGCAGCTAGAGGTGTGTTCACGGCAGACTCTGGGTCCTTTGGTCGCCCGTCGGCTACAGTTTGTTCTTTTGCTGGTTGTCTGGACTCTGGACGTTAAAGGACTGCTTCCTTCAGCTGAACTCGTCCTCACTGACCGACCAGAACTAACTGAACACGTTACAGGGAGGCTTACGTTCTGCTCGTGTCGTCATAATGTTCCCTCGTGTTCCCACGTGGAGCCTCCATCAGAGCACAGAACCATCTGGTCCACCGGTACCGAGCCGCCTGCTTCCTCCACAATCAGTTGGTCTGTGGAACGGCCCAAACCGGAAATATCTGCTGATCCATAAACATCCCAAACATCTGACACAAACAGAAGAAGGATGAATCAGTCTGAAGGTTTCCAGCTCTTCGGTCACAGTTCTTGAGTCTGAATCCCTGAAGCGATGAGCCGAGCGCCGGCTGCTTCCTGCTCGTCTAACAGTCGGATCGTTTCAGGTTTTGTCAATCAAGAGAATGCTGAAACCTTTAATTCTTGCTGCTATTGATCAGCATTCTTATGAAATGTGGATCAGTTTCCTCAGACGTCTCGTTTAGTCCAAATACGTTCACAGAGAAAAGAAACCGGAAAACATTCACGTTTAGGACAGCTGAAATCACACGACTCAGACTGGTTTCTATTCAAAATTACGCCAATTAATTATCAAATCAGTTGATGGTTTAACAGTGAACGGCTTTATTGATTAAGGGCTGCATCCCAAACAGCAGGAAGTGATTAATTCATTACCTCCGCCTGTTTGAAGACCCACTGGTTCAATAAATGAGGTCTAACTGGCAGCAGCAGCAGCAGTCTGAGCGTGTGTCAGTTAGTCAGGACTAAAAACATCCAACATCCCCATCAACCTGCAAGCAAACAGGAAACCACAGCTGCTCGTTAAAACAGACAAAAACTNCAGAACCCAGATGTGTTCTTCCTCCTAAATGTCACGTGTCTATCTGCTGGTAGAACTGAAGGTAGAACTCTGGTTCTGAGGAGGAGGACTGATGTTTAGCTCTGGAGCCGCTGCAGTGAACATTAATGAGGAATCAGAGCGTAAACTGACCTCATGAGGAACTTCAGGTCCCACAGGATGCTGTACGCCACCGTCTGCACAGACAACAGGAGACAGGATCATGTGCTTTGACTGGATGTGTGCAGCAGCAGCGCCTCCTGCTGGCAGCCTGGCTGAGCTCAGAGCAGCAGCTTGTGGAGGAGCTGATTAAAGCTGCTGGTGGCTGTTAGTAAAAACCTGTTTGACTTTCTGTGTGATTAGAGAATCCTTGACTGTCAGAGAACCTGAGTCCAGCCTGAATGTCTGAGCGTTAAATGTTTACATCACATCCTGGGTTTGAGACCAATCGTTCTGAGACTAGTTATGAAATGAAGGATGGAGACGTGCTGCAGCAGAAACCAGGTCAGTGTTTGCAGCTTCATTATTTATAACATCAGACAAAATCACATTTAAATCCTGTTGTACCTTCACAAAACGTCTAAAAACCTGCAGACAGGAAACAGAAGGAGATGAATGGTGAAGACAATAAGAAGTCGTGTGCAGCTGCTGAGTGTGAGGATGGAACGAGCTGCTCCTGAACTCATCGCTCACTCCATTGGAGCTGGTGGACAAGCAGCTCAAGTCTTTGACTGAACCATCAGGAAACTGAACCCGAACCACAGACTACAGTGACTTCAGTCCAGTAAACAGGAAACAGGTTTACATGTGATCTGGATTCAACTGACCCGCGCTGTGCAGACAGCAACGAACTGGACTGGATCTACTTTGAGCTGCTTTTAATGCANAGGTAACTCACATGTTGTCAGTGAACCAATCAGAAGCTTCCAAAGCCATGACATCATCATCTGGGCTTTCCCAAGTAGTCTGAAGGCATCTTAGTGGATGTAAACTTCTGACTGTGAAGGAAGTCATAAACATTCTCTGTCTCATTATTCTGGTGTTTATCAGATAGAACTAATGCTGGTGATCCTGACTGAGCTGAAACAGGAAACGTTTGGTCTGATTTAACGTCAGACGCTGAGAAATAAATAAAGGTTTTTATTTGTATATTCCAAGTTTCAGCTGAATGTGATCCAACGATGGAGAACAAACTGGAGTGTGAGTATTTCAGGAGCTTCACTGTAAATAATGTCTGAAATGAATTAAAATTCACTTTTAACATCGTCTCAAACCTTTTTCTAGTAAAATGTATTTTAAACTCAGGAAGTGTTCTGTTTGCTTTCTTAATGCTGCTCCATTTATTCAACATCTTCTCCAAAAGCACGCCACAGAAAATCATTTCAGTCAGAGCGACCACCAGAAGACCAGCGCAGCAGCAACAGAACTGAAGTGAAGCAGCAGCGCCGCCTGCTGGAGGCTGTCGGTCATCACAGCGTTACTGGGCAGATTTCTGATTGGTCACCGGGTCTTTCACCATCTGGGTCAGAGCTGCAGCTTCGTCTTGTCGTCTCTGCCGGTTACAACAGATTCTGGTTCCTGACTGAGGAGGAGATGTCCTGACATGCAAAGCGGACCTCTTAGGGTCCGTTTGTCTCTTTTTTAATGAACGAACCGACTCAGGATCACACAGACTAATCAGCAACTGGTCTGTAACAGCTGCTGGTTTGTCGACTCGATTCCAGAAACCAGTGAAACCAGTTGTAATGACACATGATGAATAATAAACAGCCGTTTGAGGAGTTCTGGTTTCTGTCTGAAGCTTCTGAGAATCTGGAACAAACATGAGATGAATCTGCTGATGGACCTTCAAACCCAACAGACGGGTTTCTGCTGCAGCTCTGAACAGACCTGGTCGGTTCCGGACCGGCGTCTTTGTGGTTCTTCTGGTTTCTTTCTCTTTATTCACGTCACTGAATCAAAGCGTCTCAGGCTGGATTCTGCTGCTTCACTTCCTTCCTGTTCAGTTTTTATACGATAAAGACGTAAAAACGTTGTTTTAAAAAAACGAGGATTTATTTCAACAGAAATAGCTTCGTACAACAACCATGTGACACGTGGAGGAGCTCTGATTGGCCGCTGAGAACACACAGGTAAGAAATAGAAGCTGGAGGTGGTTCTCCTCTGGTTCTCCTCACCACTCCTTCTTCTTCTCGTCCATGGAGACCCCCCCCGGCCCCAGCGCCACCACCAGCAGCAGGCCTCCGACCACCGACGTGGTCTGGAAGAAGTCGTACTTGAGGAAGTCGTGCATGGGCCGGTGGGCCGGGACGGTCCAGAAGGCGTTGAAGGTGAAGTTGATGCACAGCAGCCAGAACACCAGCGTCAGCGCCGCCAGCTTGGTCTTGAAGCCCACAGCCACCAGAACCATGAGCGCCGTCCCCACCAGGTTCTGCAGCACCTGGACACAGACAGACAGGTCAGAACCAGATCAGAACCAGATCAGAACCAGAGATGAACCAGGTTCTTTCAGTTTATAAACTGAATGAACAACTGCATTTACAGAAAGGTTCTGAAGGTTCTAACAAACATCTGCTGGGTTTTAGTCTCGCTTTACTGAGTTCAGATTATCTGCAGAACCAACGAACCTCAAGAACTAAAGTCCAGCTGCACGTTAGGGTCCGGTATCTGGTTAAGGTCCGGTATCTGGTTAAAGTTAGTTATTTAGTTAATGTTGGTTGTCTGGTTAAGATAAGTCACATTAAGACACTAACATGTTTGTTATTTCAGTAAATGTTCTGAAGAACAAACCGGGTTTCTGATGTGGACTTTAGGTTCTGACTGATCGGGTGGATTTTATTTTTGTCCTGGTTCAAGGTTTCAGAGTTTCCTGGTCGTCGGCTGTCGGAGTGTCCTTGAATGCACCATCAGTCTGGATGAAGTGGTTCTCAGCGGTACAGTGAGTGGTTCTGGTTCTGGTCTGTTAGAGAGTCGTTTGGGTCTCACTTGACAGCAGCTAGCTGTCTGTAGCTGCTGCTTGGCCCAGAGCTCCCATCCTGATAAACAAGACGCTCGGTGGCCTTACAGCAGCTTACCTGTCCAGGTGAGCGTCCCACCCGACCAGCAGCTACAACAAGAAGCCACAAACGGCCTCCAACAGCTGGAACCGGGCCAAGACACCGACCCACCACCGGAGAACTGGACAGCTAGCCACTGCACCAGAGGAGTGTGCTGCTGCTGCGTTGACTCACTGTGAGCAGGCTGAGGTCCAAGTGCAGCAGCGTCATGAACATCAGAACCAGGAGAACCCGACCTCCCAGCTGCAGCAGGTGCTTCGGAGAACTCTGATGTCCCAGAGAAGGAACTCCAGCAAAAACACTGCGAGCCTCCGACCTGCACTCAGCCAGGAGAAGCAGAAGACCTCCACCCAGAGCCAGGTTCCTGCACAGAACCTCAGTCACATTAACAGAACCAGAGCCAGGTTCCTGCACAGAACATCACATCAACATCTGGAGAACAACAAATAAAAAAACCCTTCAACTTCTTCTGAGGATCTCAGGTATCTGCAGCTGTTTTCTTCATTTTAGGTCATTTCATATAAAATCAACCACATCAGAACCTCCTCAGAACATCTGGTTCTGATTCTGCAGCACCTTTATCNGTGTGTCAGTTAGTCAGGACTAAAAACATCCAACATCCCCATCAACCTGCAAGCAAACAGGAAACCACAGCTGCTCGTTAAAACAGACAAAAACTCCACGAAGTTCTGCGACGGCGGCGGAGGCAGCGTGACAGCGATTAAAACCTGCTTTAAACCTCACGATTACTGTCAAATTAGCTCTAGAAGTTTTAGTGTTTTCCGGTCACTTTCATTTTTCGATCAGTCAGTGTCTAAAAGCAACTTTTAAGTCCGATGAAACTTCAGCTCCATGCGGCTGAGCAAACCGCACCAGACTCCATTGAGAAATTGTTAATTTTAACACTTTCTAGCTACTCGACAGACGAACAGCGGGTAATGAACATCTTTTTTTCTTCCTGGATTTCATCACAGTTTCCTGCTGGCTTCGACCAACAGGAAACCCTCCACAACTTGGTCCAACATCAGCATATTAGGACAGATTTCCCAGCTGCTGTTGCTGTAATAATCGCGACCATTTCTCTGACACCTGGTCGATTCCGCTGTCTGACACGCAGCACCAGACTCCGTTTAAAAATCTGTCAATTTAAGGTTTCCTCGTTTCTCCACAGAAACTAACAGCAGGTAGACAACTATTACGGGCCGTTTATAGTTTCTTTACTCTCCGGCGAACAGACAATGTCAATAAAACCCATGTTTTAGAGTGAAAGTACATTTCCATCTGGACCACAGCTTCCTGTTCCTCGATCTGCGGCTTCTCTTCAAACTTGACAAAAGTTCACATTTAAAGCGACAAACTGCCTCCAAAGAATATTTATCATCCGGATTTAGACCAGATAATGTTAATTTTCCGGCTGTATTCTCAGCTGCTTTAAACGAGCACATATTGGAGCGGACTCATCCGGACCGGGTCGCAGCCCTGCCTGTGGCCGCCTCACAGTGCGCCCTCCCCGGTCAGAGCAGCTCACCTGGTCCGCCACGTCCTCCGCGCGGCTCATCACGTCTCCGTGTCGCATGTCGCTCCGCAGCGGCTCCGGCTCAGCGTCGATCCGCTCACAGGTGTCCCGGTCCGGCCGCCGGTGCTGATGATGCCCCGCTGGTCCTCCTCCGACCCACAATCCTGTGCGCAGGGCGGGAGCGCGCCCCCTGCGGGCGTGCACGGCGAGGCGTGCCACGTGGACGGAGGCTGCAGAAGCAGCTCAGTGAGAAAAACGGAATAAAGATGAAAGTGTGGGGATTTAAAGCTCCTCAGTGTGTTTCTGTGTGTTGTGGCTGCAGACAAGCAGCTTGTTTGTTCCTGAGTTTGTTTTCTGCTAAACCTGAGTGTGTTGGGCTGAACTCAGATCAGCTTCAGGTTAGAACTCAGCCTGACTGTCTTTGGCTGACGGCAGATAAATAAACCTGAGAATGAATCTGCACAAACAGCTTCTGGGAGACGGTTGATTCACCCGAGTGTTGTTGTTCTATGTGTGCAGCGAGCACTGAACAATGATGCTGAAAACCCAGTGAAACGCAGACAGAGGCTGATGGGAGTGAAACTAGAAAAGGAATCCAACACTGAATCAAAGTGTTCATAAGCTGAAGCCAAGGAGTCAAAGATGATCCCAGAAACACGGAACGAGTTCAACTGAATAAACGAGTTCAGTCCAAACAACAGACCTGAACCGTGATCAGCAGCATCTACGACTTCAGAAGGGCTCAAAGACGCAGAGATCAGAGGCCTCATGTACAAAGACTTGTGTGGATTTCAACCTGAAACCTGCCAACGCACAAACACATCCAGATGAACCACAGTGAGCGTACGCCTGAATCCAGCACATTTCCTTTGCGTGGAACTGACATGTTGGAGAACCAGACTCCTCCCCCTCCACGCCCCCAATTTAAATATGCAAAT